GTCCTTCAGGCAGCAGGTCCATGTTTAGTGGACTCAGATCTGAACTTACAATCAGGAACAGAAATGATTTGTTGAATTATGAGAACCTTCAAAACAGCGGGAGCCGTCCAGTCATAGTGCTCTCTCTCTCTCTCTCTCTCTCTCTCTCTCTCTCTCTCTCTCTCTCTCTCTCTCTCTCTCTCTCTCTCTCTCTCTCTCTCTCTCTCTCTCTCTCTCTCTCTCTCTCTCTCTCTCTTTCTCTCTCTCTCTCTCTCATCTGGAGGAGCGGTGACTGTTCCCATACACTATCGGACAAAGCTGTGTCATAATAGATACTAGAATAGATACTAGATAATAGAAAGTTTACTGCTCGTGTAGATGCAGTAAAACTACAGTGAGACACTCGTATTGTATTCTATCGAACACACACACACACACACACACACACACACACACACACACACACACACACACACACACATACACACACCGGCAGGGGGCCGGTGACTGAATGGACAGCACGCTTGATACGTAGTCATGTCGACCGGGGTTTGATTCCAGGGCCCGGCAGAAACAATTGGGCAGAATTTCTTTCACCCTGATGCTCCTGTTATAGCAGTAAATAGGTACCTGGGAGTTAGACAGCTGTTACGGGCTGCGTCCTGGGGTGTGTGTGCGGGTGTGGAAAAAAATTAGTTAGCAGTTAGTAACAGTTGACTGACTGACAGTTGAGAGGCGGTCCGAAAGAGCAAAGCTCAACCCCCGCAAGCACAAGTAGGTGAGTACACACACACACACACACACACACACACACACACACACACACACACACACACACACACACACACACACACACACACACACACACACACACACATACATACACACACACACACACACGCAACTTCTTATCTCAACTAGAGGAGTACTCACACAGATACTAACACGCACGGGAATATACTGTGAAAGACATACAAGACGGACCCACAAGCAAAGACGCGGACACAAGGACACGCAAGGACACACAAGGACACGCAAGGACACGGCCAAGAGACACTGCGGGTAGAGCCGGGGCCAGCGCCCCCTAGAGCCACTACAGGGACAACAAGAGGCCGGGGGTTCGAGGAGTTTAATCCAATACAATGTTACCCTCAACTCTTGTCGGAGTTCATAAAGTGGGTGGTTACCCCCCCCTACCCCTACCCCAGGAGGGGAGGGAAGGTGAGGGGGGAGGGGGAAGGGGAGCTGAAGAGCACGATGGGGTGGAGAAAGAAGAGAGAGAGGAGGGAGGGAAGGGAAGGGAACTATGAGGAGAGAGCGCTAAATCATTACGACTATATAACACTTGAAATGGATCAGGAAAAGGAATTGGGAAGGGACAGGGGATGGGAGGGGGGGAGAAGGAACTGGGAAGGGTGGTCAGAAGAAAAGGGAGGGGGTCAGAAAGGGTAGGATGGGGGGGGAGGGGGGTTGATGGGCCAGGGAGACGAACCCTTGATAACCCCGTCCGGGAAATAGCCACGGAGACCGCCCGTAACAATCCTGATGCCACTCAACAATTGACCCCTAACTACTCCGCCAGGGAAAACACCAAATTGGATGGTCCTCCTGGGATCGAACGACCGTTCTCTCCATTTGGACAATTGGTAACAATCGCGCGCCCAGCATTACCTTGATTTCTTCAAGAACGAGCTGAGATCAAGACGAGGCCAACGTCGGAGTGAACTCTGAATTGCCACACTTGGTGATTAGCACTTCCTAAACTCGTCATGTAACTAGTCTACAACATTCTTGAAATATCTCAGACGGATTGAGAGAGAGAGAGAGAGAGAGAGAGAGAGAGAGAGAGAGAGAGAGAGAGAGAGAGAGAGAGAGAGAGAGAGAGAGAGAGAGAGAGAGAGAGAGAGTGTCTCGGCTATCTGCCATCGTCCACGGCAAGATAGCAGAGGGGAACAATCACATAGACCCTTGTTGTTCTGGGACGAGGCAGCTGGCCATTTGACCGAGTAAACTGGTTAATTGAGACGTTTGGGGAGAAGCCGTCCGGGATTGTCAAGTTCTTTGTGTCTCCTCCAAGTTGGAAAGTTGTCCTCTCCAGCCCGTGTCAACACTCACTTGTCCTGGCTAATGAGTCTACTCATTCATGTCTCCACCCAGTGAGTCTTCCTCAGATGAGTCTCCCTTAGATGAAACTCCCTCATATGACTCACCAGTCTCTCCTCACACAGGCTTCACTCACACAATGGCTACTCATGTAACATTAATGAGAGCCTATATCTATTGTAAATGAATCTGCATGAGGGGTGGGGGGGGGGTGGACAGAGAGGGTGGGGGCGTGGGTGGAGGGACTGAGAGAGTGGGTGGAGGGACTGAGAGAGTGGGTGGAGAGGCAGAGGCTGAGTGAGTGAAAGGGGGGGGGGGGCAAGGCGGGAGGAAGGGGGGAGCAAGAGTCAAGAAACAGTGACGTCACCAGCAACATGGCGGCAGGACGCCGTCTCCATGGCAACACAACAATTAGCGTCTTGTCCTCCAGGGCGCTCTCTAAGGTCTCTTCCTGGGCGTCATAATGACAAAAATATACTCCCAACGCTCCTGAAAAATTACACAAACACCTGACGTCATTCACTAGGCCTGGAATTTGACGAAAAAATGCAATCTGTCCTCAGGGAGACAGATTACATGAAATGACTTTGTAACAAGTATGTAATTAGTTCAATGATCTATTCTCTATCCATGGCTAGGTTACGTTAACGTTACATCAGGTTATGTTAGTTTACGTTCAGTTTCATTACGTTTATCTATGTTAGTACAATGCATTATTCTAAAAAATGTGAACTATGCAATTCGAAAACTAGTTGCGTATACCCTAATATTTCATTTACAGAAAACCCCATTCTTCAAATCATTTCAAAGAAAACTAGTTCAGCATATATTTTTCTATTTTAAACCAACAAGTAAAAATACAATAAAGTTAAAAATTGAGAATATTCTCTGATTACGGCAGAGGTTCATTCTCCAGCTTACAAGTAGACTGTTATTGGAACTGTAATATGCTTTCAGACCATCTCAACTATGCAGATTAGTATCCAGAAGTATCCAGGTGCTTTGAGGGGAAGGGGGTATCTCGATCTCATGGACATACTCTCTGATGGGGCAGAACTATTGATTCTAAATTGTTTGAAACTAAGATATGGTGAAGAAAATATGAATGTTGTGTCAAAATGAGGTATCGGAGTATAGGATATCAGTATGAGGCATCAGAGTATGAGGAACCGGTATGAGGTGATGAAGAGTATTCTAGAGGACTAAGGGAGTATGTGAGTACTTGGTGAAGGTGTTATTACTCTTCTTATCTAACAGTGAAAGTGACGATAGCCGGAAAACTCCTCCTTATGACCACCCAAGTCTCCTGATCCCCCCCCTCTCTCTCTCTCACACACACACATCCTCTCTCTCTCTCACCCTCTCACCCTGTTTCTTTCTCTCTCTCTCTCTCTCTCTCTCTCTCTCTCTCTCTCTCTCTCTCTCTCTCTCTCTCACTCACTCTCACTTTCACTCTCTCACTCTCTCTGTCTCTCACCCCCTCTCACCCTGTCTCTCCCTCTCCCCCCCCCCACAATATCACTAACAACTCTATAACAACACTTGCCACAGTCGGTGCTATATCCACTATGATAAAAACACAATCCACTAAGACTGAGAATTAAACAAAAAAATGATATCACAGTATATTCAGACTTTAAAGGGTAACTATTCTGATTGTATTTTTTTTATAAATTAAGCGTGAACAGCGAAGAAATATATAAAAAATAGTAAGAAAAATTTCGCTATAACTATACTATTTTGTGGCACTCTTTTCAAAGACGGGAACGCCCATGTTGGGCACGAACCTAACAGGAATTACTGTGTGAAATTTGCTGAGACTAGCAACAGCCGTTTGGTCAACCCCCAGACTAGTTTATAGCTAAAATATTTTGTTATTAAAAAAAATACGCTGACAAATTGTCCTGAAAAAAAAAATATTATTTTTTCCAAACAAAGAGTAATCCCCTAACGTGAAGTATCAAGGAGAAAACTCGTAGCAGCCGTGATGAGCATAATACTTGTTGACTAGGGCGCCGCATAGGTTCGAATCCTCATTACGGCTCCTACGGACCTTTATCTTATTTCATAGACATTTTGGTTCGAATCCTCATTACGGCTCTTACGGACCTTTATCTTATTTCATAGACATTTTCTTCATTCATAAGTGCACCGTGTTGCTACAACTTACAAATATACACAGAACTCTTCCTTATAAATGCACATTTAAACATCCAAACCAATATAACGTCACATACCCTTGTGTACAAAATGTCCCTCCCCACCACTACCAATAAACAACAAGACAAACTTCATAATAAGCACCAAGAGCCCGCTCTTGGGTGCTCCAATATGCCCCCATAGAGCTCCACTTGCCCCCCCCCTCACCCGGGGCTCTCACGCCGCTCTGGGGGGCTCTTATTTTCTACACTTTTCCTCCAATAACAAGATGCTGGTGTCAATCTGACCCTCGCTGTTCGAAATGTGGAAAATCCAATAGCGTCCGGACAATACGGAGCCTCACTCATACGTGAAATGACCAAACCGGAGTAGTTGCGAGGGTGAGTGGACAGTAGTAGGTAGGGAAGATGGGGATGAGAAGGAGCAGAGATGGGATGGAGAGGAAGGAGAGATAGGATGAAAGAGCAATGAGGGAGGAATGAAGTAGGAAATGAGCTTCATCTACACACTACGGGAAGCTGTAAACACACACAAGAGTGAGAGCGTGAATCATCTGCCTCCGGAGACGGGGCGCAGAGCTTGAGATGTTAAACAACGGGGGACAAACAGGGGAAAAAAACGGAAAACCAACAGACAGGAGAGATCGAAGCAGCAGTAGGGCGACAAGATGAGGGGAAGATGAGGGAGAGAGACGGAGGGAAGGTGGTGGACAGTGAAGGGAAAAAAATATCTGACACGAATTAATATGATTACCCGCATCAAGGTGAAGGAGGGTGCAGCAACAGATCATTGTTACCGGAGGACCTTGTACTGGTCGGGGGGACCTTGTATTGGTCGGGAGGACCTTGTACTGGTCGGGAGAACCTTGTACTGGTAGGGGAGGACCTTGTACTGGTCGGGGAGGACCTTGTACTGGTCGGGAGGACCTTGTACTGGTCGGGGAGGACCTTGTACTGGTCGGGGAGGACCTTGTACTGGTCGGGGGGACCTTGTACTGGTCGGGGAGGACCTTGTACTGGTCGGGAGAACCTTGTACTGGTCAGGAGAACCTTGTACTGGTAGGGGAGGACCTTGTACTGGTCGGGGAGGACCTTGTACTGGTCGGGGAGGACCTTGTACTGGTCGGGGAGGACCTTGTACTGGTCGGGAGGACCTTGTACTGGTCGGGAGGACCTTGTACTGGTCGGGGAGGACCTTGTACTGGTCGGGAGAACCTTGTACTGGTCAGGAGAACCTTGTACTGGTAGGGGAGGACCTTGTACTGGTCGGGGAGGACCTTGTACTGGTCGGGAGAACCTTGTACTGGTCAGGAGAACCTTGTACTGGTAGGGGAGGACCGTGTACTGGTCGGGGAGGACCTCGGGGAGGACCTTGTACTGGTCGGGAGAACCTTGTACTGGTTGGGGAGGACCTTGTACTGGTAGGGGAGGACCTTGTACTGGTCGGGGAGGACCTTGTACTGGTCGGGGAGGACCTTGTACTGGTCGGGGAGGACCTTGTACTGGTCGGGGAGGACCTTGTACTGGTCGGGGAGGACCTTGTACTGGTCGGGAGAACCTTGTACTGGTCGGGGAGGACCTTGTACTGGTCGGGGAGGATCTTGTACTGGTCGGGGAGGACCTTGTACTGGTCGGGGAGGACCTTGTACTGGTCGGGAGGACCTTGTACTGGTCGGGGGGGACCTTGTACTGGTCGGGGAGGTCCTTGTACTGGTCGGAAGGACCTTGTACTGGTCGGGAGGACCGTGTACTGGTCGGGAGAACCTTGTACTGGTCGGGAGGACCTTGTACTGGTCGGGAGGACCTTGTACTAGTCGGGGAGGACCTTGTACTGGTCGGGGAGGATCTTGTACTGGTCGGGGAGGACCTTGTACAGGTCGGGAGGACCGTGTACTGGTCGGTAGGACCTTGTACTGGTCGAGGAGGACCTTGTACTGGTCGGGAGGGGTCAGAGGAGTTTTCGTTTTACAATATAGCCTTGACAACAAAGATGTGAATTCCCAGGTCTAATTCAACTTCATCTTTGCTACACGCTAATTTGGCTGCAATGTCTGTGTCATTATGATGGGTTATATTTATGTGTGAAGGTGTCCATACAAAGGAGTCTATGTTAAAATAATCGGCCTAAACAACTCTACGGAGTGAGCCAGCCACATTTAACAACCCACAGATGGTGTCAGAGCTCTCACATCATAATGCCCCCGGTTCGACCCCCACATGCAGACATATTGACAAACTTACACACACAGACACGTACACAAACACAGATATAATATCGCTCTAGAACATTATGAAAGAAAAATGACATAAACATAAGGCATTTTGTTTTAGCTTGTGAAACAACATTTAAAATACACCTCCAAGAAACCGACTCAAACTATGAAATTTAGTAAATTAGAATAAATAAGCCACAGTTGTGAGATATAAATATAGAACAACGAACTCCAAATAACACGACGCCAAACGGCGCCACGGAAGGGTCGGGGGGAAAAATGGCCGGCGTTGGAACCGCTTTGGCTATGGTCCGCGTTCTATTAAGACCTGAGAAGACGCCTTGAGCGCCGCGAGGAATTGCTTTATATACAAATGTGTCCTGGGACGGGCAGCGGGTCTTTATATTCCCGCTGGGGATCGGACCAAATTGAAAATGTTGTCTGAAATTTATTGGTGATTATCTAAACCGTGTTGGAGTGGGCAGCAGCAGCAGCAGCGGCGGCGGCGTCCGTTGGTGGGGACCGTGGTCATGTGTCTTCCAGTCCCCTGCACTGTCTTGCTGCTGCTGCTGCTGTTGCTGCTACTGCTGCTGCTGGAGTTGCTTCTACTGCTATTGTTGCTGCTGCTGCTGCTGCTTCTACCGCTGCTGCTGTTGCTTCTACCGCTGCTGCTGTTGCTGCTGCTGCTTCTACCGCTGCTGCTGTTGCTGCTGCTGCTTCTACCGCTGCTGCTGTTGCTGCTGCTGCTTCTACCGCTGCTGCTGTTGCTGCTGCTGCTTCTACCGCTGCTGCTGTTGCTGCTGATGCTTCTACCGCTGCTGCTGTTGCTGCTGTCACTCTTCTGTTTGTTGTTAATGCTGCAGTGATATCACATCCCCCACCCCCTCACCCATCACATTATTCCCCCCCCTTCACATTCCTCACCTCACACACACACTCTTCCCCCTCCCTCACAGCCTCTACTCCCCCCCCCCCACACCCACTACCCACCATACCCCCTGCCCTAACACTCTTCCCCCTCATGCCACTCCCCCCACTGACACTCCTTCTCCCCCCCACACACCTCACCTCACCTCACCTCACCTCACACCCCTCCTCATCCCAGGCCGTATTGATGAACATTTAAGCCTTCAAAGGTGTGGCCAAGCGGTGGGAATCCCTCTCCCCACCTCCCTCACCCCCTCCCCTCAGAATCCTCCCTCCCACACTGCTCTCCCCCCCCCCTTCATCTCCCCCACGCCTTTCATCTTTCATTATTCACTTGCCAAGCCGCAGCCCATGTCGTGAATAATCCCTATCCCCCCCTCCCCCCCTCTTCCTTCTGCACGGGGGAGTCTGCCTCTGTTGGGGAGTTATCCTCTATACTTGGGAATTACCTCGTCTGCTTGAGTATGCTCTGGTCTGATTGAGAATGATCTGGTCTGCTTGAGAATGATCTGGCCTGCTTGAGAATGATCTGGTCTGGTTTTGAATGATCTGGTCTGACTGAGAATGATCTGGTCTGCTTGTGAATGATCTGGTCTGCTTGTGAATGATCTGGTCTGCTTGAGAATGATCTGGTCTGCTTGTGAATGATCTGGTCTGCTTGTGAATGATCTGGTCTGCTTGAGAATGATCTGGTTTGCTTGAGAATGCTCTGGTCTGCTTGTGAATGATCTGGTCTGCTTGTGAATGATCTGGTCTGCTTGTGAATGATCTGGTCTGCTTGTGAATGATCTGGTCTGCTTGAGAATGATTTGGTCTGCTTGTGAATGATCTGTTCTGTTTGAGAATGATCTGGTCTGCTTGAGAATGCTCTGGTCTGCTTGAGAATGATCTGGTCTGCTTGAGTATGCTCTGGTCTGCTTGAGAATGATCTGGTCTGCTTATGAATGATCTGGTCTGCTTGTGAATGATCTGGTCTGCTTGTGAATGATCTGGTCTGCTTGAGAATGATCTGGTCTGCTTGAGAATGATCTGGTCTGCTTATGAATGATCTGGTCTGCTTGAGAATGATCTGGTCTGCTTGAGAATGCTCTGGTCTGCTTGAGAATGCTCTGGTCTGCTTGAGAATGATCTGCTCTGCTTGAGAATGATCTGCTCTGCTTGAGAATGATCTGGCAGGCGGCTCTAGTTCAGCCCACCACACCACCACCTAGCCCGCTGGGAATGGTCGGTGGAGAGACGGTCTTGCAGCTTACACAGGTCGGAGTTCGATTCCTCGATGATCCTATAGCGGTTATAGGCACCGTTCTCTCCCCCTCATGTTCCAGCGGTTCCTTATACCCAGTACTTGCGTTAACATCAAAGATGTTGCCCCTTTGGATCCCAAACCTGTTTGGTTTTCCTAAGTTTTAATTATATCAAATTGATCCTTTTATTCATATTTCAGCCTGTGATGATTAATATACTAATATACTTTTTAGGGGGGATGTATATTTATGGTAAAATTCTTTGGCTTTGAATGCTTTGATTTAATTTAATGTTTGGCGTATTTGCCGTGAAACCACACAGTGAGAGTCACTGCAAATAAGCGCTTTAATTTACGATCAAGAAATATCACAATTTAAAGCTATAAATATTGTAATTTACAGTCTAAATTACTGTAAAACATTGTGATTTACTATGTGTAAATATTGTAATTTATTAGACTTTGATTTGATTCCGCTTAGGGCAGGTCACTCCCACGCTATCTTAAATATTCCCACGCTCTCCTAAATATTCCCACGCTCTTCTCAATACTCCCACGCTCTCCTCAATACTCCCACGCTCCCCTCAACACTCCCACATTACACATACACTTACACACCACTCATTTAACACATTTTACTCCAATCCCTAATCATACTAATCCCTTCCCCCCTCTTCCCCAACACTTTCACCCCTTCTGGACCTCCCCACACAATCACTCCCCCCCCACTAAACACTATGAGGTCCAGGAACAAAGCTTTCTTAAACAAAAGGATTTAGAGTAAAAAGTTTAAATAGAGTCAGTAAAATATGTTAACCAATATTTAATAAATGATAATTATGTATTAACTATTAAGTTTAATTTTCATAGCTTAAAGTTAAGCTTAACCAAAGCTTTAGTTTTAATAAAGGCTATATTGAGGTTATCTTGAGATGATTTCGGGGCTTTAGTGTCCCCGCGGCCCGGTCCTCGACCAGGCCTCCACCTCCAGGAAGCAGCCCGTGACAGCTGACTAACACCCAGGTACCTATTTTACTGCTAGGTAACAGGGGGCATAGGGTGAAAGAAACTCTGTCCATTGTCTCTCGCCGGCGCCCGGAATCGAACCGGGGACCACAGGATCACAAGTCCAGCGTGCTGTCCGCTCGGCCGACCGGCTCCAGCATGTCCACTCTTGATCTGTGATTGATATGGAATGTTACAGTTGTTATGTATGTTAACTATATGTATGTTAACTATGTATGTTATATCAATTATGTATTTTCTCGTGTTGAGGAGGTTTTGACAAGCAACTTTGACGCTGAACAGACAACGTCATGTTAACGTTGTTTACGTCTTTTACTAATACGTCTCATTTTTAGTGGTTTTGGACCAAGCCTTTGGACCAGATTTGGGTGCTCTAATATCATTTAACTAATAGTTATAAGTTACTTATATTTTACAGTGTTTATAAAGCAGTCACTTTTGTGAGTGTGTGAGTGTGAGTGTGTGTGTGTGTGTGTGTGTGTGTGTGTGTGTGTGTGTGTGTGTGTGTGTGTGTGTGTGTGTGTACTCATCTAATACTCTCCTAATACCTGTGTATTAGGTGTGTATAATACAATACCTGTGTATTATACTCACCTAATACCACACCTCACCTGTGTGTGTGTGTGTGTGTGTGTGTGTGTGTGTGTGTGTGTGCGCGCGCGCGTGTGTGTGTGTGTATGTGTGTGAGTGCGCGCACGCGAGCTTGCGTATTCATACGCACAAGAATGAGTATAGAGGGTTGAGCGTTAACTCCTGAGCCCCGACCTTTCCCTTGTCTATTATATCTACTTACAAAACTACTGCCACCGTCTACTGTCTCATACAACATCCCATCTGTCCACTTCATCACTTCCGACCAGTATCTTACATGTCGTGACTTGTTCTTCCTGTTTAATCTTCAACATTCTAGCACAGACCTGGTTACGGACCTTGGGACATTCTCAAATTCGCCTTCCTGCGTCTCTAAGTTGGGGGTCCACGACGGGGCTGCGTACTCCAGCACGCTCCTTACATAGATCATGTCAAGATGGGGGTGTGGGGGGAACGGCTTGTGGGGAAAGAGGGGTGAAAGATGTTGTGGGGAGAAGTTGAGTAGGGGAAGGGAAAGGGAGGGAACAGGTTGTGGAGAGGGAGAGGGAGAGGGAGGAAGAGAGAGGAAGGGAGGGAAGGTGAGACTGCCAATCCCTCCGTGATCGCGTTTTGCGGCCGAATGATCAAATTATTCCCGGCAAAGGATTATGTCACCTGCAATTAATTCAGGACACTGTTTCTAGAGTCTAGGTCAGATTATCACAACTTACCACACTGTTCCACCCCACACCTTTTGGGGCAGCTCGGGGAATAATCACCGTGTTTACCCACTTTTTTAAACACCTTTCTTTCAACTGGATTAAGTTCTGAATAAAAAATTCGAGAGATATTTTTGCCGCCCGGACGCCGGTGTGCTGGACGAGACGCAAGTAGCACACAGGCACTAAAAATGACCACGCTCATGGACGAAGAATTATGGGACGAGAAGGAGGAGGGGGGGGGGGGGTTTGAGCGAAGGCTAATGAGCAGGAGTCTGTTATATACCTTCCTTCATAGGTTGCTGATCCGGTTAATATCCTGGCCACGCCCTCCCACGCCTCCACGCCCACACACGCCCTTGCAGGCGGGTGCAGAGGCGAGCCACGCGCCCCTGCACCCACACACACGCCCCGCACCGCGGAAATAAGTAATAAGAAAGGGCATTGACGGGGGCAGGAATAAGAGGGGTATACTGTTCGCTCCCCTCAGGTAGGCCGGTTTAAGCAGACTTAACCCTTTCATTCCCCCTTACCCTGGGTTTGCAATCACCGTTGCCAGAAACGCAAACTTGCAACGCTCTCCACTCGCTCTAAACTCACACCGGCCTTGTTGCAAAAACACTCTCCACTTCGATATCATGCACAGCCCAATTTCAACATGTGTTGATATATAAACGCCAAGAATCTTACTGCCCCAGGCAGGATTTGCCGGGAGTTACACAGGACAGAGTCGAGTGAGGGGTTGGCAGCGCTGCGCGGGTTTGTGAATGCAAGCGACCACTGCACCAGCAGCAGCAGCAGCAGCAGCAGCAGCAGCAGCCCCAGAAGCGTCGTCCGCAATTCTCATTCGCAACCAATCTTGCGATAATGTGTTTTTTGTCGGTCCTTACACGATTTCCTGAGGTTCAGGATCACTGTAGCGAGATTGGGGCGGCGGCGAGCTATCATTCCCTTAATATTATTTAGAGCACAAGACTTGTGAGGCTTGGCGCTACTCCTAGAAAAGTTTGGCTAGGGAAGCAGGGTGTGTGGCCCTAGGGAGGCCCTGGTGTGGCCCTGGGATGGCCCTGGGATGGCCCTAGGGTGGCCCTGGGGTGGCCCTGGTGGTGGCCCTGGTGGTGGTGGTGGTCCGGGACGGGTGGGACAATAATTCGAGGTGTTGATCGCCAGAGGGCAGCATCCCTTCACAAGGGTAAACACACCTACAATGCTCAAACACTCCAGAACTTTTTTTCCCCATCCAACAATGTCCATTCTAACTTCCCTATGGGGGGGGGGGGGGAAATATTTCATGTAATCCACTTAAAAGTGTTATCCCGAAAGGCTTCTCCCCTTCGGAGGCAAGTTTTACGAAGGGAGGAGAATTAAGCGGGCGCAATAATGATGGAGGAAGCAAAACAGGGAAAACCTTGAGCAAGAAACAAAAACAATTCCCCCCACCCCCCTGCCCCCCCCCCCGCCCCCCCACAAGCGAGGCGGACTCAGAACGAAAGCTGTGAACCCGAAGCTTCTCTCTCTCCTGCCAAAGAGGGTTTCATTGCGATTCTATTCCCACTAGTCGGGTTTGATCCCTGCAAATCAGATTAAATGATTCCCTTTGGTTGAAGTCGAATGGGTGGCGAGCACATTGCAAATCCATTTTTGACCACAGTGGTAGAGAGGACTAAGAGAATTGAATATCAAGGAACTAACGGACGAAAATGGAATATTGGGGGGGGGGGGATGTTTTTGTAAATACAATATACGAAACAATATACTCATTTATTTACAAAATAACACGATAGAATGACCCTTTATTTACTGTTAGTTTAATAATACAAAGTTTATTAAATAAAGTTGGAAGAGGTATTTGTGTGGGGGTTGAAGAAACATTCACGAAATACAGAGGTGTAGTTTGCTGTGGTAACGATCGTATTGTTCAATTACCAGCGTTTACACCTGCATGACAGGTGTGTGTGGGTGTTGTCAGGCCTTAATCCTCGCAACACAGGTGTTTCAGGTGTGTGGCCCTTCTTTCTCTTACCTGAATTCCCTCTCCCTTCTCCCCCCCCCCTCCAACTTACATCCTCCTCTCATATAATCTCTCCCTCTCCTTAAAACGATCTGCCTTCCTTCCCAACACCTGGTCGAGGACCGGGCCGCGGGGACGCTAAGCCCCGAAATCATCTCAAGATAACCTATCTCAAGAAGATAACCTCTCCCCTCCCTTTAACTACTGACTTCCCCCTTCCTTTTATCTCCTCCCTACCCTCCCCTCTTCCCCCTACCCTACACTTCCCCCCCTCTCCCCCTCCCCTACACTTCCCCCCTTCCCCCTTCCCTACACTTTCTCACCTCTCCCCCTTCCCCTACAATTCCCCCCCTCCTCCCATGTACTACTGCATACTCCCCCCCCCCTTCCACCCCATAACGAAATTACTCGAAGGTCTTAAATCCCCCCTCCCCCCACGCACCTA